ATACATACATATACACAGAATATATATGTTGGAAAAGAGTTGGGAAATGTTGAAATTGGGAAAAGCTTTAAAAGGACGCTGGGTTGTCATCATTTAGTGGCAATGAATTTAACTTGTGTTTAAAAGGGTATATTTTCTCTTCATTTTTCAATTTTGTAGAAGTTTCAATACCCTCTTTTCTGCTTTTGCTAAATCAATATTTTAATAAAACTAAAATATTACAATCGTGTTTGTGCATGTTTAGTTAAAGGAACAGAGTACAACTGAATTGAACAGGGAATAACAAGAAGGGACATCCTCCTATATATACATATATACCGACCTACAAAAGTACATTTGTATAATTATTATGACAAGTAACTTCTACTTTAATTGATTTATTGACAGCATAGCAACATAGTTTTTAAAATTATACTTCACCAAAAAGTACTTAACATATAATTGAATTCAATTAATTTAAACTTAGTCGATCATTATACTTTATTATAAAATAAATAAATAAAAAAAACATCAAATTTATTAATAGAAACTAAGTTAAGTACACCCACCGATTATGCTGTGGTGACTTGCAATTGCTTCCAAAAAGTATTAAAAATTTTATAGGTCTCTAGCAAACAAAATTATTAAAAACCAAGTTAAGAGTACACAAATCAATGAAATAGTATTTACAATAGAGAATTAGCGACCTCCTTCATTAATCTTTCCTCACTCTGGCCAAGAATTTGGAAGATAGGGAAGCACCATTGTTGCGAGTTTGCGAGTTTGTAACGAATGAATTAAATTATTGAAATTTTGAAGATGTTTATTTAACACCCTTCTGCAGAAACATTTGAAGAAACTTGTAATTTTATCGAAGGACGTTTTGGGCAGTACATGGATGATTATTTGGTATATAGATAACAGGTCTAGTCTTTTAGAGTATTATTATGGATAATGGTAATACTTTTTATCTTATTTTCTTATTAAAAAATATTAAGATTTTAACTTTTTTTTTTTTATATTTATTCTTAATTGGATCATTCATACCTTATTTAGAGATATCTTATTACAATTTGATGACGAAATCTTGTAAGTTTTTTAGTTTTTATTTACGAGCAGATGATCATTTTACCTGAATATAATTTTAATTTTTTGTTATAAAAAAAAATATCATTATGCATTATTACGCTAAATTTTTAGTTAAAAATTATTTCATATTTGACTAAAGATTACAAGTCATATAAAATGTTGAAATTTAATATTTCGAAATATAATTAGTTTTATACTAAATTAAAAAATTTATAAACTCCTTCAATTAAAAAAATTTAGAATTTTATCCACTATCCATCAATTACCTTTCACTAAGACACTTAGATCTTGACCAGCTTTTTAGCCTTACTTGCTACTACACTAGAGATCCTTATTTATGTTAATAACAGCATAGTCTATTGGAAAAAAAATATATATATATTTACCTCTCTTGAAGGCCCACCTTCTAAGGTAATAATCTATTTCAGTAGGTCAATTTTTTATATACGCTCGACAAAGAGTTCGTTTAAAGAAAGTTAGCTTGCCAAGTCTATCGTGATATTCATTCGTAGATGTCGAACTCTTTACAAAAACTTCATCAACTCTCTAAAATTTTTTATTTAATAAAAAATAAATAAACAAAAAATAATTTTAAAACTACATCAAGTTACTATGCACGAAATAACACCAACTTATTTCCTTACCTAATACAATGGGGAAGATAATCTCTTCTTATGAACTACCTTACTTTATCAGTAGGCACGACAAAGAGGTTTGATGTGAATTTTACCAAATTCAAACTTGACCCGCTTCAAAATTTGGAGGAGGTTTGAATTTAAAAAAAAAAAAAAAAAACTTCAGACTAAGTTATGTTTTTAGATTACTTGAAATGAATTCGAACTAATCATTCTATTATATTAATATATATTTAATAATATTTGTATTAAAAATAAAAAATAATAATAAATATATATTGCTTACATCCGTTAATATAAATATATTTATATTTATTAATATAACTATAAATATATTTGTAATAACAAAAAAAAATTAAAGATATATATATATATATATATATATACACACAACAGATCAGGTTTGGACAGTTTTGAAAAATCAAACCCAAACTTGTCCTTCTAAACAACAAGGAACATAAAGGGCTTTTCACAAATCTACATGAGAAAATAATGAGCCTGAATTTTGAAAGATTTTTTAAATATATATGGGCTTAAGAAAATTTTGAAGCCTAGAGGTTGTTTTTATGGGCTCAATTCAAAAAAAAAATCTTAAAATAAATAATTACAACTTAATTAAAAATATTAATTACTAATTAAAACAAAACATAATTTCAACATAATATATAAACAAATATAACCTACTTAATAAAAAGTATAAAATAAGTATGAAAAGTACAATCCTAATCATTTAAATTAATTAAAAAATTAAATTATTTCCATGACAAAAGTTTTTCAATACTAAACCTAAATTATTCATATATAACACATGTAAACTATTGATTAATTTACTACCCATTACACACAACCTAAATTATTCGTATATAAAACACATGTAAACTATTGATTAATTTACTTAATTAAACTTACCCAGTTCAGTAAACGAACAAAAATCATTAAACAGTTACATAATTTAATTAAAAACCGATTGTTAATTACAGTTCCATCCCTAATTACTTTCACGAAGAAGCTGGTTGGTGCAGAAGTCATTGATTCCCATTTGAAAAATAATTTAATTTGCTTTTTGGCCTATATTTTCTTCCTATTCAAGAAGGGAAAAAATCAACACGTTTGATTTGACGTTTCAGAATTCTGATATTTTCATACATCACCATGTCCCCAAGCTTGGGCTAACCCTCGGTCATTGTTTTCTTGACTATTTATTACTGGGTTTAATTAATTAAATTACTTGTTTAAAAACATAAAAAGAAAAGATCTTATGTTTAGTGTTAATAGATTGTTTGGGCTTAATGTTGATCTTATAATATATAAAAAGCTATTGATTTTATTAATTTCATTTAAAAATAATCAATTACGATTAAATAAATATTAAATCTTAATAAAGTATTAATATTTTTTTATATATAAAGATAAAAAAAAATTATTTTTAATTTTATGATAAATTAAATTCTACACCTTATATTTAAAAATATTTTTTAAATTTATTTTTAGTAAATTTATTGATGAATTAGTAGTAAAACAAAAAATTTAATTTAATGATTAAATATTTCAAAATTTATTAAATTAATAATAAAAGTTAAATTTTTTATTTATTTTTATTTTAAAGTACTCAAATCACATTGTACCCAACAATTATTTATATATAAGATCAACTTTATATATATATATATATATAGAGAGAGAGAGAGAGATATATCAGTATCGGAGTTGTACATTTGAAAGTATATATTTATATTAAATGTGTATTTAAAATATTTTTGTGAAAATAAATGAAAAGAAAATAATATATAGTATGTGAATCATAGAAAAAAGGAAGACCAAAGACGGCCATTACATCACACGGTGGGGAGACAATGCTGGGAAGTTTTGCGAGCAAAATCTGGTTTTTCAAAACCCTAATCAATCAACGTCGTAATAAAAACAAAAACATTAAAAAAAAGAAGTTAATGATTAAGTCGTAGCGTGGCTTACTTGAGAAGTTTCCCAAGTTTATTTTTATACACAACTTGTCAAATGGTGGCTTAATGTTCCTGCATATATATATATATATATATAATATAACTTTATATATATATATAAAAAACTAGAAAAGTTACATTTTAATTATATTGTAATGTCATATTTAAAGACTAACATTTGGTTTGTTATACATTTGTAATTTCTTCAAGAAAAATGTTTGATAATTAGTGAGGGTATTATATATAAACTTACAATACGATATAATATAATTTTATATGCTAATGACTTCAAATTAATTTTCTTTTTTTTTTGGTATTTTATAAATTTTTTTTATGGAATCTTGTATTCATTAATTTGAAGACAAACTTCAAGGAAAATTGTTTCGCACTACTTTGTATTGATCATGTATAGTTTAAAAGAATATATATATATATATTATCTATATTTACACATATATGAAGAAAATAAAGTCTCGTTCGACATTGGTGTAATTCTCATGTGATATATTATTTTTAACAATCGAATTAATTTTCTTTTTTTAAAAAAAAAAACACAATAGTTTTATGAACTAGCACACTCTTGTTAATTATTCCTTTTTAAAAATAAGAATACATAGCTTATATTAATTAGACAACTCATTGATTTAAATAATATAATTGGTCCATGTGGAATTCTATTCCTTAGCAATAATATTTTAGTATTTACATTATATATCTTATATAAAAGGAGTCAAATTTATGCTTGTACGTTAAGAAAGAAAATCGATATTTAGTTGAAATTGTTTGGTTTTGT